GGCAGAGGCGGCGGAAAAGAGAGAGTGGGCACCGGGAGGTGCGCTGTCTGCTAGTTGAGTTGCAAGCTGGTTGTGTTGCTTAGCGCAAGGTGCGCTGTTTGCAAGTTGTTGCTACCAACTGTGAATTCCACAATATATATATATAGTAGATTTCCACTTTCATGATGATTCCGGGGGCGGAGTGTAAGACTGAAAGGTTAGCTTCGATCCAACCGACCCACCTGCCAAGTGCAGCCACTGCTGCAGCCTGCCTTCGGGGGACAACTGATTATGTGGTGGACCAGGGGTGAGTCAGCAGTGGCCATTCGGGTGGAAAAAGCCGAGAATGAACAACAACCGTGCCCTGGCTAAAACCGCAACCGCCGCAACCGCGTTTCGGCATCCAGGGCATCCAGGGCACCGGAATCCGGCGCTCGAGGAAGTGCCTGGAGGACTCGTAGAGCACAAAGAACAGCCTCAGGACTCAACCAACGGAGTAGACTCGAACCTGATCGATTCCAGGACCGTACCCAACGACCGTACTCGGTCTGGTGTCTCTCATCGCTCATCGGAGCTCCCATCCGAGAGGCACACCAAAAGGGTCGCGAAAGGGCTCAAAGGAAGCGAAAGGCCGGAGCCCCAAGCAACTGATCGTCATCGCCATCACCGTTCCAAAACAGCTTCTCATTTGGTTGACCCACCCGTTCCAAAACGCGAACGGACCCACAACCTCGTGACATCCTAAGCCAAAGTGGCGCACTTCCAGGCAAAGAGACGGCAAGGACGGCACTCAGCCTCGGGTACCAAACAGGAATTGAATCAGGTACGGCCGGGCTATAAATTAAACTGCCAAGCGCGGCAGGGAGTCAAGGACCAGTGGCAAGTTGCTGTCGTTTGGCTGCAAACGCAAGCTTGAATCTCTCGACCAAGTGACCCACTCCACAGGTTGCGATAGCCGCCAGCGGGCCAAAACCTTGGCACACGGTGGGAGACTTAATTACATGGTTTAAGAGCACCTCTCGGACACTCTGATGACCAGGCGGGAAGCTTCATCATCTTACGAGTGCCAGGCTGCCAGATCTTTATACAAAGTCTTGCTTTACAAAGCAATCCCCAAAATTCAGAAAGCAAAACTCTGCAAGCCCAAGTGTCCCTTCTCTGGACTGCACGCGTGTCTTCAGCGTATCCAAAGGGTGCAGCGGAACATCTACAGCCACGCCTGCCAACCTCAGATTGGCTGATTGGCTCGGGTGTTTCTGGGCACCTCCTGCTTCCTGCTTGACGCCCCGATGGCATCAACAACCCCAATCTATCTTCGAACCAGGGGCCGGGTGGCTTTCGGCCCACGTTTCCAGGGCTCGGATCAAGATCTTCAACCGTCCGACACTGAATCCTCTGCAGAATGTGATGTTCTATTCTTCCGTGCAACTTTCACACCAACAAAACGGCAAAGGCTGGGAACCCAAAACCACCAGGGTCTGGCAGCTCAACACCCCAACCACATCCAACCACCGTTCAGGCAAAGGCTCAGGCCACAGGAGAAGGACACCAAGACTGGCGGCTCAGAGCCCAGTTGCCGGTCCGTGGAGGGGCTCGCGGGGCTCGGCGCCCGCGGACCGGGCGGGACGGCGTCTCGCCTTGGAAGGACCGGAGTTCTTTCACCCTTTTTGGCGCCCGAAAGACGGGCGCCTTGGGTGGTCCCTCTTCACCTCCCTAGGGCTCCAATTCTCAGAAGGTGGTCGGGGTGGTTTTGGAGGGTCTGTGCCCACCGAACCTGAGGATATGGGACAGGAGCCCTAGGGCCTAGTACGGTGGTAGATTGGTTGGTCTTTTCATGCCAGTCCCAAAACATCCGTCGAGGAAGAGCGCATGAAGGCCTCTCTCTGCTTTTCTCTATGCAGGTTCTCCTCTTTTCAGTGGGAGGTGTTCTGCATAGGTTCCCCATCACTGTAGGTTATTCTGCTTGTGTCGAAGTTCTTCTATGGCAGTTCAGCTGGGAAAGCGGCCGACGTGCCGTTCCCGCCTTTCCGCAGACGCCCAAGGCACTTGGGCAGCACTGGGGATGCTGGCGGACTGACCTGTAAGCGGCTGATGATTCTTCGGCCAACTGTCCCGTGCTGCAAGTCTTGTGCTTCCTTGGAGTCTGAACTTCTCTTCTTCAAATGTGGTTTGTACAATCAGAGGGCAGGTGAAACATATGTCCCTGCATTTCCATATGCGTGCTTGTCACGCCCGGGCATGCCGAACACGCCTTTGATTGCTTGAGTTCTGGCTGGAGCGACCCCACATCCACACTTTGAAGATGTTTCCTCAGGCAAGAGCTCGGACAAGTCATACCTCAGAACCTTCAGAGATCCCAAAATAGATACTGTAGCGTCAGGGTGCTCAGTACATGTTTAGGGCTTAGGGGGGATTGCCCTGCCTTTCCAAGGTCAGGGTCAGCCCTCACAAACATGCATGCAGTATGTCTGTGACACCTGGCCCCTTGCAACATTTGTGCCAACACATCAAAAAGGACAGCTCCAGTGTGTGTCCGTGATTCAACCGCATCGTCGAAGAGGAGAGGACTCGCTTTTCCATCCATATCTATCATCCATTTTTCCAAATCCCACCGCCTCGCGGCCTGGCCACATCTCCACCCCCACCCCATCCCAACCCCATCACCCAACATTCTCACAGCATCTTGGCGAGCTCAAAGGAGCCCAGGAAGATGAAGCCGCCCAGGCCCATCCAGGCGGCGCGACAGGTGCACCCCGCGAAGAAGCCCAGGAAGCCACGCGGACCGCGGTAGACCAGCAAGGCCTCCTGTGAACCGTTGGGGGAGCAGTCCTAGGTCCTCGCATATTAATAGATGCCACCTGCACTCAGTGGGGGACTATGGGCGAATTTGCTGGACTGGTTGAGTGATTCTATCAATGCGAGATATATATATATATATAGAGAGAGAGAGAGAGATAGAGAGAGAGAAATACATATACAGTGCAATGAAAAGTACATAAATAAACAAATAAGTATAGAATATGATATATGTGTATGGCCGGCTGTCAAAAGCTGTTCCCAAAAGTGTCGATTTTGTAAACCTGGCAAGGGCCCGCTTCTAAATCTCCTATAAGTCAATACATGATTGACATTGATTGACATATATATATATGGTAGAACCACATGTATTCTACACAAACAAGGTCAAAAACTTAAGGAATTGCAAAACGCGAGTGAGTGGGTGAGTGAGGGAGTGAGTGAGGGTGTGAAGGACCAGAGGAGGACAAAAAGGAGAAGAGGAGAATCCAAATCCTTTGGCAACACGCAAACACACCTACCAGCAAATCGAGGTCATATCAATCATAGCGCCAACCTAGCGCTGCCTTGCGGAATCAACGCAGTCTGCTGGGGGCCGGCTTCTAAATCAAATCAAAAACAACATTACATGTATATGTGTAATTTTATATAATGTATGTTGCCCATGACAAATGACACACTTGATCAGTTTTTCCTACTAGGGGGCTTTGAATGCAATCCATATACATACAATTTACATACATCTACAGGCTTTCCAGCATGTAAGGAAGCCCGTGTACCTGCGCGCCGGGTCACGGAGTTTCATGCTGCTGCATGGGAGATGCAGCACTTCCCGCCAATGGATCTCCCATGCAACTCTGCCACACCCATGCAGCTCTGGACCACGACCGAGCTGGGACCATGCCTCTTTCAAGAGCTGTGAGGCCTTCTTCCGCGAGTGGGTCGGGCAAAGGTGATCCTCCCGTAGGTTCAAACGGGTTCGAAGCACCTGGGGGCCGGGCAAGCGGTGAGGTTTCAAGGGTCCGGTCCCGAGAGTGTTTGTCCACATCCAGCTCTCACACCAACCTTCTTTTCGTGAGGATCCATGGATCAATCATTCTGCATCCATGGGTCAAAAGGAAAAATGGATGAAAAGGCGGCCATGTAGGTCCTGAAGTCGATTCTCCGAGCTTCAAACCTGGTCCGAACCTGCGCGAAGCAGCCGAACCTCCAGGCCCGAACCCTGAAGCACGTTCCCAGGCACGTCCAAGGGCGTCGACAAGAAGGCCGAAATCACACCTGCCACCTCAGCAGCTAGGCAGGCCACTTGTTGGGGGGAAGAAGGAGCAACACAAGGGGTCCATGTGTTCAGTGTGCTTTCGGCAACCCACCCAGCCAGGATGGAACCCACTTGCAAGTACCAAGGCTGACAGATCCAAAAAAATAGACTGCTGGAGCAAAAGTGCTTGCATTGTAGCACTCAGAAAGCTCCCCTCAAGCCTCGTGCTGTAGCAGTCTTCAATATTTTTGCCAAGTTGCTGTGCCACAAGAGGCTGCCTCAGGCTTCGGGCCCCCCCATCAATTCTCGTGAATCCATATAGGCCCAAAGGCGGCAAAAACGCCATAATGACTATTACACCCTCAGCGCCTAAGAACTTTCGCCTCCGGGCCAGGCATTTTTGGGATGGCAAGGGAATATTGACCGAAACCTATCCTTCCTCCCGATTTAGCCAAGCCAAAGTCTTCTCCTCATGGTTGCACGTCTGGATCTCGTGGCTGCCCGTCGTCGTGAAGACACAAGGCGACTAAGGCGACCCTCATGATATGGTTGGATGGCCAAGGTGCTTGCCAGGTTGGCAAAGACTCCTTGGAGATTCCGTTCAAGTTGGCGCAAACCAACTTTAAGTATTCCTAAGCTGCACAGTACTGGATTTAATCAAAACTCAGTGAGCAAATTGGTGTCTCAATGTGCGTTCATTGTCCACACTTTCGGTTCCTCACTCTCGGCAGCCCAAGCGACATACATTGGAAACTGCAGGCTGCTGTGAGTGACATCCCGCAGCAAGGAGGCCTCCAACTACAGGCATGCAGCTCTACTTGGACCACCACCACCACCAAATACATCCGCCAACCGGACTCATGCCCCCCTACCTACTCAACACGCAAACCTCAGTGCCTCAGAAGCAATTGTGCTCCTCTCCTTTGCTGGGTTTACTCTGTCAATACTGGATAGATCTTGAAAGGGAAAACCCCTTGGTGATGCATTCCCAACGACACCTAGGAGGTCAAACCAGGTGCCAGCTGCCAACATGTTTTTGCAACAAGTCAACACCCGGAGCAGTTTCCAAAAGCATCGCTCGCCTCTCCGGAAAATCCCGGCCTGCAACGAAGCCACGAAAATCGAGCCCTGTGTGCTGACAACACCTTGCACCACTGCTCCTAGACGTTGTCCTCCGCCGGCTTGCTGACGCTGCTTCACCTCAATGCCGCTGCAGCTGCACACAGCTTCGAGGCCTTTCTGGAGATTCTGAATGACGGGGAGCCCCGACCGAGCCCACGGAACTCTCTATAACAACTACACAACCTTGGGGATCCAAACACTGATCACACCACACTAACCCTACACCTCCAAGTGCCTGCTCAGAAGGTAAACACATTTTCAGAAGGTACTTGGAGGCCTAGGGTAAGGGTTCTCTTTTTGTTCTGTCCTTCAGGATGTGGTTCCTTCTCTAAACCCACCAGCTCCTTTCTCGCGCTCCTCCGGCTCCTTTCTCCCGCGTCGCTTCACTCCGAGGCGCCAGATCCACCGGCACCCGCCAGACGCCGGCCGCCAGCTCGCCCAGGATCGAGGCCACGAGGCCGATGCCACAGTAAGCCAAGACCTGTGTCGGCCCGTGGAGAAGGCGAGGTCGAGAAGGCGAGGTCTCTGGGAGAGAAAAAGGCATGAAAGAATCCGATGGTGATATTTAAGCCGTTTGCTTTTGGAAAGCGTGATTGGAACCCGTCTCTTTTTGGGTGGACGTTGATGAATTGAATCAATCACTTTCATGTGGGGAGCTCTGATTGCTCCGGCTCTTTCTTCTTCAATTTGCAAGCTGAGCGAGTGGAAATCCCCTCTGAGGTTGAGAATATTCTTTGTGGCCTCCCTCCCAATTCACATATGCAATGTGCAGGTGTGAGTGTTGTCCTTTTCTGGATGCTTTGAACATGCTGTCAACAAGGTCAACCAGCAGGACAAAGGCCTTCAATAGTACTAGTCGCTTTGGTGAGCTTGGGGCTACACGATGTGTCTACGTCACCCCTGGAGTGCCAAGCTTCTGCAGGCTCATACACCCTCACCCCCACCCACAAAAAAATAAAGGAACATAGGCCCGGCCCAGACTTCACCCGATTCCACAAACGCGATGAAGAAACGAAGCTCTATAAGCACTGATTGCAGATCTGAAATTCTGTTTCCATAGATGGACAAATGAACTGAGAAACGTGAAACACCTGGGTGGCCGGCAGAATTGCTCTTGTCCTTGGTTTGAAAGAAGCAGGAAAGTGCTTGCCGAAAGCAACAACATTGATCACCCATGTTTCTTCTTAAACCTCTCAGCCCTATGCACACACGCTGTCACATGTTGGCAAATGTTGTTTCTCTGCCAGTGGTTTCTGATGTTCAAGCAAAGTGCGAATGGCATCAAACCGTTCTTGGTTGTCCTTGGCTGCGTAAAATCCAACAAAAACTTAAGTTAAGAATGTCATGGGACAGCAAGAACAGAAACCCGTTCACCAGTGCATCATGGGGTCTCGTAAGTTGAGAAAAATATGGCGGAAGCTGGCGCCGCAGCAGCGATGGATATAAAAACCTCGCAATTTGGCGGCAGGGTCCAAATGCGTCACGCACATTGGTCGGAATGTGGTCTAGCCCCCTCGGGGGCCGGACGCCACGGTAGATGTTCTTGAAGCCGCCAGACTCCTTAGGAACGGCTGCATGCTGCATGAAGGCAGTCACCCGCCAAGCCCGAGCTCCCTGCAATGAATCCATGGCGGCTTTGAAGTCGAGTCTTCAGGCCTTGGTCAGTAGCATTGAGTGCCGTACATTTGGAGGAAAACATCAAGAGAGGTTGAGAGACCATATAGGACCCTGTAGTGGTATATATGGGATGGGCTATAGGGCTGTTCAACCTCTCTTGGATCTACCTCTCCTGTCTTTTGCACGCTGATTTTTCGATGGCACATGATGGCATGTGCACTCGATGTCACGCCAACTGATTGAGCACGCCCAACATTTTGTCTCAAGCAGGCTGATGCTCGAGCTCCGGGCAATCCAGCGGGAAAAGCAATGTTTCGGATGCCACGCCAGCAAACGCGCCTGAAATGCAAGTAAGGTCTTGAAAATAATATTAATGATTATTAATGGGTCAGCATTTGCACCATTGAAGCCCCATGGAAACAAAGAAATCGCAACAGCCCACTTGCCACCCACAACTGCCACAACCTCACAACCACCAGAACATAACATTGTTGTGCCCCAGCCTGAGCACAGTGGCACAAAGTAAGGATTCTCCTGCTGTCGGGGTGAGGCTGGCCATGAGATGTGCATGAATACTTAGACTTAGCCAAGGTGAAGTCTGAAACTGAGAAGAAAAAAGACTCGGCCAAGAGGCCTATGCAAAACATGGCTGAGCGGTTGGCAGCTCACATTTCGCCGCACCTTGCACCACCGAGAGAAGCCGTGAAGCTCGCGGCTCGGTTCTGGCGCCGTTCGGCTCTGACAGAAGCAAATCGCTGCATTGGGCGGCGTGCCCCCACCCGGCGGCATGCACCCAGGCAAGCTGCGCAAAAGGCACAAGTGTCTTGGTTTGATCTGATGTGTTGGGAGCATTTTCTTTTCCATGCAACCATAACATGGGTGACATGTTCATGTTGTGACACTTGTGTGCTGCAAACGCTCGTTTGCGTATTTCTAGTTAGCTTGACTGAGGTCACACGGATTGGCCTGCAGTTCAGGTCTGAGGCGCCAACGGCAACATACCGGAAATTGACAAAAACGACACACTGTCACTGCACACAGAAAACATCACGCGCAACCATTGTCGGCAGAGTTCCTGTCGGCAGAGTTCCGCAAACACACTTGGAGAGTTCCCGCACGTTCGAAGGTCGTGCTCAAGCTGGCATGTGGCCATTCTTATTGGGTGCGAGTTTTGACGCACTGGTCACCTGCACCACCAGCAACAAGTTCATAATGGGACTGTGAATTGAAAGCCTCTGGGAATGTGTGTGTCTGTGTTTGTGTGTTCGTGTGCGAAAATGGGCTCAAGGAACAACTTCGCCACAAGCAACACGCGTTTGGAAAAGGTTCGGTGTCAGTCTCATAACTTTTGGTTTTGCTGTGGATCAATTTGGCCGCCAGGGGGGGCAACACAGGAACAGCCTGAAGGTGGGAAGAACTGGCGGATCTGTGTTGGAGCTGGTCATGTCTTTGTCTTTGTCTTCTGGGGGGAAATTTGGCGAGCAGGGTGTTGGAGGCGTGTTGATGCTGAGGGTCAGACCGTTGCCTTCCAAATTGTTGCTTGCGGGCGTCAATGAGGGAAGCTGCCAATGCTTGCTGCACTGCGTGGCTCCGAAGAGCTGCCATGCGGTGAAGGAAGCGGCCGCTGCACTTCACCGACCGCCGATTTCCATTGCCAGCACCACCTGTTTGCGGAGGAGCTCCGGGTATGTTCGCTCTTTCCGGCGCTGGGCGTCCTGCACAGCCACGCCTATGTAAGTCTGTCTTGGGGGTTCTTTCCCATGTGAATTGGGAACAGGGTCGTGCCGACTGCGAGGTGGGTGACGGGCAGTGCCGCCCCGGCAGCGGCAGGCCAGTGGCTATGACATATGACCTCTATCCTGCGGTCGCAGTGGCGGTCGATGTTGTCTATGTGGAGGTCCCAAAGGCGGGTGTTGGTTGGGACTCGTGCCCTGGCCTCCCTGCACACACGCTCGGGCTGCTGTGCGTTCGAACGGGCCCCCGCGCACGCAAAAGCCCAGACCGTGCACAAGCTGCGCGGCTTTCGCCTAACAAGTCCAAAACGCAACCGCAGCGGCAGCCCGGCAGCGGCGGGCAGTTAAGAGCGATGGCAAGCGGATCAGCCCTGCATGGTTGGTGGGCCGGAAGTCGCCGCCACTTCCTTGAGTTGACGTTAGCATCCGCTTGCATGACGGTTTTTGCAATTCACACTGCTATCACCGGACTCGGCCCTTGCGCGGGCCCAACACGGCCGTCAAAGGGTTATTTTTCTGCACGCCTTTTTCCGCCGCAAGTCCTGGTGGAAAGCCATTTCTATACAGGGCCTCCCGGGTGCGCAAACCAATTGTATACTGACGGCCGCCGGATGTGCAAGAAGTCGGGCTCCGCCAAAGTCGAAGAGGAAAATGGATGCCAGAGGGGGGGTGCCGGGGTGCTGCTCAAGCTGGGTTCTGGTGTGTCCCCATCTGGTACTGTGTGGGCGGCAGGGTCGTGGGGGATGAGGCTGGCAGCAAGAGGCCCTTGCGCTGCCAGCGAAAGCATGGCAGACCACCGCGCGATGGAGAACTGGGCGGCTGCTGGTCGAAGGGCTGGTATGACCGACCGGCTACGGGCCTTGGCCAGGAGGCGCAAGAATTCCGCAGCTTCGTGGCTCCAGTGGCCACCGACTTCCATCGCCAGCACCACCAACCGACATCTGTTCAGCACAAGTTCTGGGTAGGTGCGTTCTTTGGCCTGCCGCGCCCCGCGCAAGGTTGGTGACCCCTGTTGGCGTCCGCGGAGGCGAGGTTGCCCTGCACTGGTCAAAAGGGAGAACATGGTGGTGTCAATTGCCCTCTATCCGTCGGGCGCCAGCCTCTCGACACACCCGCGCCGCTGCTCCTTCCAGTGGTCCGGCCCTGCCTCCCAAAGCTCCCGATGTAGCACATGCTGCCCGGTGGACGCCAAAGGGGTCTAGAGGGCGACGGCAACGGCACTGACGCGCTGAACTCCGGGCCACACGGAATTGCGGTGAAAAGCTCGGCTGGCGAAGCGGCCTATATTTGTTATTCGGTCATGGCGCGGGCGGCGGGGTCCAGGGAGGCAAGCTACTCGGCTTTGTTGTGAATTATTTTGCCACATATACACTTGGTTCATCTCTGTATTGAAACAAACGTTTTCCTGCTTCAGACTTTCCAAAGTCAGCTAGCTGCAACCCGCAGAAAAACAACTTGCACGCACAAACCATCACAACAACTAATATATACTTGCAGCCGGCATTTCCCAAGCAATTGAACTATGGATTTAAAGGCTTACGCCTGACAGCCGGGCGCCGGCCGACACATGAGAGGGAGGAAGGACATCGGGGGGTAGGAGGACGGATGTGGTTCTTGTTGTTGCGTTGATTGTGGTTGAGGTTGTGGTGGTGGGGCCTATGTTGGCCTCTTTTGGCCCCATGTTGAGCCCGTCTTGGGACGGAACTATGTTGGCCCAGCTGGGGGGCTATGTTGGGCCTATGTTGGAGCTATGTTGGGGGTATTGTGCACCACTTATGTTAACATACTCTAAAGATGCGATTTTGTCCATCCCGGACTCCCTTTCCAAGGGCAAAACACATAAAAACCGGGTGTTTTTAACATCGCCAAGCTCCGATTCATGGCGACAGAAAGGCCCGAAACCGTGTAAAACGGAATGTTTTTGAACACCGCGCGAAAAATCCACTGTAAATTACATGGCTTTCAGTGGCGACGCTTGTGCTGGGTGGGTCGGCGGCTGGGGGCGTGAGCGTTAGTTACCTTCGCTAACCGCCGAAGGCCTCCGGCAAGGACACGGGCACGGGCTCGGCCTCTAGGCCGGCGCCTGGATTTCAATGGGGCTGTGTCATGCGGACCCTAAGTATTTTTCATCCTCGAAGTTGCATTTTTTCTCGAAGTTGTCAACAGGCAAAGATAAGTTCTGACTCACGCAACC